CATTCCCATATCTAACGACCTCTATTCTCTCAATTCTAAAAGTGTCGTGCCATCTTGAATGCTACGTCGCTCTTCGAGCTATGTTCTTTCCCTAAATGCTCACATTGAGTGAGGGAGTCGTCGTCATGACTGTCTTCGTCGTCCCATGCGTGGAACCAGAGGGGAACAGGAGCATTGCGGTTTTACCCTTCTGTTTTGCCTGTCGAGTGACTTAGGCTGTGCCCAAAAGTGATGAAAGTTTGGTGGCGTGTAGGTAATTCAGCAAAGGTGTTGTCTTTCGGGTTTGGGGCGGTTGCTTGGGGTCCCGTGTTGCGATTCAGTTTGCTTTCGCCCTTTTTTTTCGCTAACCATTGCCTTCGCTTTTGTTCCTTCGCTTTTTTTACCGAGTTGACCAGCTTTGAGTAATTCGGGGTTTGGCCTTTAAGGACACGCGCCCTAAGTCTCTTCGCAAACGACCATGGCGAAACACACACACATGAAGGGACATGTGTTGTTGCATACCCACGCGTTGAGTTGTGTTTCCTCCCTGTAATGTCACACAACACACAAGCTTTATCCGCCTCACATTCGTGATCGCCTACCTATGTCAAGAGCCATTGCGCTGCGTGCATGGATTACAGGCTGTAACGTTCCTGCCTATCGTGTCGTTGTGCCCTTTTCTAGTTCACGAACTAGTATCTAGTCGGCATGCAGAACACGATAAGCTAACGCGTGTAAAAATGCTATTTCAATGGTCGTTTTACGCAATTTAGGTTATACGAGAAAGGGGCGAGGCGTCACGAGAACGTATGTAGAATGGAAAGTCCCAGTGGTATCATCGAAACATCAAGACGACCACACGTGGCAAGAGTTGAGGACACTTGGGCTCAGGATGATGGCGAATCCAACATTACGATGGATTGCGGACCAAGCAACGACGGGGTGGAAGGAGCAGCTGGATTGATGCGTGCGATGAAGCTTCCGCGGATCCATGGTACCATTTCATTTACCAGCTTGCTTTTCGCTTTTCTCTTCAAAGCATCCTTGTTTTTTCGCGTGTTCACCCACGTCAAAGACGGACCGTAGACAAATTGCTTTTACTTTTTCATCGGGTGGAAGCAGAATGATGCCTATCTCCCCAACGTGAAACCGTGGTCATTTACTCGGTGCTTCGTGAAATTCATTCCATCGCTGTGATTGCAAGATTAGCTGCGATCCATAAACCTTTCCGTCCGTGGGCTTGTAGTTCACAGCCATGAGCTCATGCGGTGTGTGTGGATGCTTTAGGAATGACTGCGTGCAGTGGAGTATTTGTGTGCCTTGTATTGAGGCGAACAGGGGATGCAAACAGTTGGAGAGTGAAGTTGTTGATCTGAAGCAATACAAGGAGAAAGCAGAAGAGATGCAAGATAGCTTAGAGCAGTCCAACCTCTTTGCTCGTAAGGTCAACGGCATGCTGGTGACAGATTTTTGCGATGTGACATTAGAATCATGCGATGGATTTAAGTTCCCCGCTCATCGCTGCATGCTTGCTGCATGGTTAGTCCTCTGCTTTCCTGTCTACGTTTCCAAGTTTTCGGGCTTATACAGTGCACGGACAAGTGCTCTTTTTTCCCTCATTGAGGATGTAGCATTTGTTTAATTGTTTGCGGGATAATCACTTTGCAGGTCTCCAGTCTTCGCTAAGATGTTTAGCAGCGGCTTTCGAGAAGAGACCAGTGGCTCTGTGAAAATTGATGATACGGACAGCGCTACACTGGAGCAGCTTCTCAGTTACATGTACACTGGGGTTGTGCACATTCAGAAGGCAACCATGAAGGTGATGCGTTGATGGGAACAAGGTGGTTCATTAGTCTATCTCGGTCTCACAATTTTTCTTTGTTGTTTCTCTGTTGTGCACCCCACACTCTACAGGAGGTGAAGCTGTTGGTGGCAGCAGACAAATATGAAGTCCTCGAGTTGAAGGAGCGTCTGGAATCACGTTTGGGCGTGCTTATGAGTGAGGTTCCGTTTGACAGCTTAAAGGTATCAAGTTGATGCACACCAATAAAACCCCATACTCTTGTATCCAATGCGGTCATCTCTGCATTGGAGGTGGAACTAATTTATTGTGCATGGTGCTTTCCTCTTGAAATTTCTCTGCAGGATATGTTGCTGACAGACGATAAGAGAGAAAGGATAGTGACAGTAGACTTGCTAGGAAAAGTGTGGATGGTGAAGTGAACATAGAACTTCTCCATTTTCCAGCGTCCCAAAGTTGTCCCCAAGAGTCCGAACGGACTCTTTCTGGACGGATTCCGGACGTGCAGAAAAAGAGACTTTTTGGACCAAGGCCTGCTACATTCCGGAGTCTGTTTTAGGTCCGACCAAAGAGTCCGCGAAGAGTCCATTTGGACAATACGAAAAGCGAAGGCAATATGTGTACATCACGTACCCGATATACTAAGATGCGTTTTACCAATAAAATTTATACCCAACCATTGTTTACATGATTTTTAATAAAGAACATGCAAAGGCATTTCTACTTATACAAACTGCTAGAAACTAAATAATGCATTGCCAGATAAATATACGAACCCCCATTAGTTAATGCTTAAAAGAAAAATAACCTGCACGGATTGAAGAACAATATTGAATGAGCCACAAGGTCCATTCCAAAAAATAATAACTACAAAATTGCTTATACTAAAACGTACAAACCGTGGTGACTGATGACACATTGTCCAACAAGGTTGAAAATAGTCACCAGAAACGATTGAAACAAACATCTCCATTTACACGGTGATTAATACATCTCTGAATACAAGAAAAACCAATAAGTACAAGACACACTGGCTATATCAACAAATCATTAAGCAAATTGAGCACCACCTTTGATGGGGCCTCTTACCAGCAACAGGGTAAGCAGCACCCGTCACGACCCTTTGCAGCGTCCTGACAAAGCAGCGCCCGACGCGTACCTTAGTGATAGAGAACTAAATGGCGGCTGTGAAATATTAAACAAAACCTTCAGATTGCGAGCACTTTCAAAGGGGAGGAAACAAACAAAACCGCGAAATCAACGTGAAGCTTGTATGTACGTATAAGTCGGTAACCACAAAAAATGCCAACATTGAATCAAACAAACCGACCTGCGTGATGACACATTCACCCTCTATGAAGGAAATCTTCACCAAATGCAACTGAAACAAACATCAGAAGGTAAGCGATGATTAGCAACCGTTAACACACAGGTTCATATTGAATTAAACAATGTAATTACCGCTCTTCATCGCGCCTCTAAGCAGCAGCCGCATTAGCAGCGCCCGTCGAGCACTTAAGTTGCACCCATCTCGTCTCTTAGCAGCACCCGCCGTAGCAGCGTCAGTCTCGCTCCTTAGCAGCGCCCATCGCGCTCCTTAGCAGTGCCCGTAGCGCTCCTTAGCAGCGCCCGAAGTTGAATAACTTGTTACGTAAAAAGAAGACCGTCAAATGCTGCACTGGGGATAGATAGATATTGGAAATAGGAGCGGTATAAGTAAACGACGTCATGGAATGCGTTATTCTGGTTGTATGAATGAATAAAAAACGTAGGACCGCGCACATCTCAGCAAGCGATGAACACCATGACATTGTTGCATAGAAAAGCAGAAACTGGATTTATAAACCTAAATGTATAACATCCGCAAAGCTAGATTGGTTCTACAAAAGTCGTAGTGCTAGGCTAACCAAAACAGATCGTGCGAACAAATGTTGGGCAAGAAATGCTCGAGTGAAAAGCTCAGTTTAAAAAATGGAGCATCTAGATCTGAAAGGGATGGACAAGTCGAGAGTGGTTGGGGGATGAGTTTGGTAAGGTGTGTAGGTAGCTGTGGCTAATGTTTTCCGAGCCTAACCTGCACAGGAAGGCGTTTGTGTGGCAGGTGGTGTGACAGGTGGCAACCCTGGCAACAGGTGTCAACATGTTGCGAAGGAGTTTTTGATTGGATTTTGAGTTTAATTGAACCAACTTGCTTGGTTTACAACCGAGGTGCTTAGTGGTTACGAATCGCGCGTGCGATTGGGAGATCGCGAGATCGATTCTAGCTAGTAAAAAGCAACTTATAATTGGGAGTGTTCGTTTTCTTTCCTAATCTAACAATTTTGTGTTCGGTATAGTGCACCAGGCAAGCATCGATCCCCGACCTTCTGCATAGTAACATGAATCGGAGACTTCTTGGACAGATTCCGGATACTTCGCGTTTTGGCTAATTTTCGGACATTTTTAGACCCTTCAATTTTGGGTGAAGACTCTTTTTGGACACTTTTGGGGGGTCAAATGACACAATGTGGACCACCTAGCTGGCCGGCTGCATTTCGGACCGACACTTTTTGGTGATGGAAGTCAGATGGCCTGTAGCAGGGGCACAGCAGGAATTGCAGGAATATACTTTTTGACAGGGACTTGTCGCCTGTGCTGTTGTAGCTTTTCCGGAGTGTAGGGGACTGGTGGTGGTGGATCGGTGTGGACAGGGAATATAGGTGAGAGCAGATCCTGGAAGGTTGAAGTGGGGTGGGTCGATGCAATCCTTGTATGTAAAATTGGTGTGTAGTGGCTGGAGCAATACAGTCTTGACTAGGTAGTACGGTAGAACTGGTCATATGACTAGGTACATGACATGAAGTACCATTATGGGTGCTCCCTTCCTGGCGCTGTTCCCCTCCTTGACCCTTTTTCAATCCCCTCTACAGCTCTCATTTATTGCTCTCATTTCCTGTTCTCAGCTGTCAGCTGTTATCTCAATTCATGGGCTCCCATTGCAGCTCCCATCTGCAACAGCATTGCATTACAAGCATACGGATATCATGGTACCATGAACTGTAGCATATTTGGAGAAAGAAATGTCGAGGCTCATTGCAAGACATTGGTATTTGCGAACAGCTTATTAGCTTGATGTGCTAACCAACACCCTGCCGTATGCCCTATAAACAACAACGTGCAGTATAGATATTTCCTGTTTCCCATATCAAGCAACACCCTGCTGCTCATGGCTTCTCGCCTCCTAGTCATCATCATCCTTGCGCTTTTGCCGCTTCTTGCTCTTCTCCTCTTCTTTGCTCTGCTTATCTTTGCTCTTCTTGTCTTCTTTGCTGGTCAACGCGGGTGGCGGGGTTGGCTTCGGCGAGGAGGAAGAGGCATTATTAGCAGAGCCATTGCCAGCAGTGACGTTGATCCCATCACCTCCGCTGTTGTTCACCTTCCCTCCAACGCCACGCACCAACACATTAGGGTCGGTAATCCAACCTCCCTGGTTTACATAACTTATGCTCGAGTACGGGGCTGCTTCTGCCGGCTTTAGAATCTTCGCCGTGTCCTCCCATTTCGTGGTGTCGTAACCAGGCCCGTAACACCCGTACACTGCAAAAGTAACATGCCGCAGCTTCTTGTTACCCTCCACGTAACCCCAACCCTCCGGGCGAACTGACCCTGCTGCAAAATAAGTGTTCACGAAAATCGTGGTGGAGTATTTACCCCACGAGCGCGCCAAATAACCGGGCTTGATCGGGCCCGGGCCGAGGGGACTCAGGGAACCACCAAGAATTACGTAACCGGTGTCGTCACCCTTTTCGCGAGACTGTGCGAAGTAACCACCACCCCAATAAACCAGGTTGAACTTGCAGTTGTGAAAGAGGGCCTTGGCATTGCCGAAAACAAAGTCCACGCGGCCCTGGATGACTGGGGTGAGCAGAACGAGGGGAGGCATACGGTAGACTGAATGAGTTAGGAGGGATAGAAGAAGAAAGCTGGAAACAAGCGAGGACAATGAGCCATAAGCTTGCACCGGACACCCTCCCAATTCTGGAAAAAGCAGTCACTGGGTGCTCAATTGTAGGATAACGGCTAAAGCATGCTGCTCCGCAACGGTTAAAGCACAACTCAATGCAATTCTTGTAGTACTGGAGTCAGGATATTGCGTACAGGGTTTCATGGTACCGGAGAGACGTGCATCCAGATTTCGAGGCCTAAAACTTACCACAATTCTTGTAGTATTGGAGTCCGGATACCGCGTACAGAGTGTCCTGGTACCCCAGGAACGTGCACCCGTAAAATGCAACGCGGGTCCCGGCGGCTTTCACGGCCACAGCTTGGTCCCCCTTCCTGTCGTTCGTTTCATCGACACGAGCAAGTGCGATTGGAAGGAGCAAGTGAGTCGATCCCGTCAATTTTTAGCCGTGTGTAAGCCGTTTGGCCGTTACAAGCGGAATCGAGTAACAAGTGAGTGAAACGAATAGACGAAACGTGCCACGCAATGGAAGGAAGATCGTCGTACGACATACCCGCCTGGCTCGCCGGGTCCGTGCGCGTTTTCGAAGACGATGTTGGATACAACGACGTCCGACGCGAGCAGTTGGAATGTGGAGCAGTCGTTCAGGTTCGACTTCCCCGAGGAATTCGCCGCCGTGATCTTCGTCCCGTTTTCGCCCACGAGCGCGATGAACCTCAGCGACACGGGCAGCTGCGATCGTTCGAAGCGGCGGGCGAACAAGGGGCGATTTTGAAAACGACTTAGTTACACGGAAAGAGGAAATGACGGCGAAGGGAAAAGGCGCGAGGGTTTGTTCTTGGCCAAGACGGAGGTGCCACCTCCGAATGGTGAGCGGGAGAAACTGTTGACTGCGAAGCAAATCAAGTTCAACTTGACGCAAGTTTGGGTTTCAGATGAGAATGATGAACTTACTATAGCCTGCTCGTTATACACCCCCGCTTTGATGAAAATGATGAAGTAGCGGTTTGCGGTACCAGATCTCGCAGCAGCTATCGCATCCTGTCAATGCAAGAAGAGCAGGAGAGGCAGAAGAGGGAAAGTGGAAAATGAATCTTATTCTGAGGTGCCTCATGGATTTGGCAGCAGCATATGCCGCCTGTCAGTGTAAGAATAACAGGATATGCACGCAGGGGATCGGGGGAAATGTATTCGAAAGAAGCCTCGGAAACGACCCAGCGAGCTCAGAATGGCGAATATAACCTTCGACTGCATTGGCCCCAGCGGCGTTGGTGATACATGCAGTTTGGACCCCTGACGGGGATGCGCGATGCGATAGGCGCGATGCGGAATGCGCAATGCGATAGGCGCAATGTAGGATGCGGGCGTACCTTGACGGTGCTGTATCCGCCGCTCCCGTCCTTCGCCACAACTCTATCCGCTCCCGCGCCTTCTACTGCCGGAATCTCGTTGACTTTTCAAGTTGACTCAAATGTCAATCGGTCGTACCTTGACGGTGCTGTAACCGCCGCTCCCGTCCTTCGCCACAATAATGTCCGCCCCCGCGCCTACTACTGCTGGAATCGCCGCCTTCTGCCCTACAATCCGCGCCGCTGCGCCGCTTGCACTAGCCGAGCCGGCGAACAAAGCAGCCAGCAGCATCGCTGCGAGAAGCAAGTGATGCTGCATGGCGGTGGCAGTGGTGAACGGCTCGAGGCTAGTACGAATGAATCGAGCCCTTGTCTACAAGTGGTTCGAACGCGTATAAAACTGATATCGTTAGGTTTGCGAAGCAGCTAGTGAGGGCAGTTGGCTGGTGGCTTGAGTCAGACGGGAAGGAACGGACGATGGAGCACGAGCGCACGGTATTTGTATATTGCGTTCAGAAAGAGCTATTATGTGGGTCCGTTTGCTCTCACCACGCCGCCATCAGCTGAGCGGCCATAACGAGAGGTTACTGTGGGGTGGGGACGGGCTTACTGGGGGAATGACCCGTAACGCATTTATCGCGTCTGCTAAGTCGACGCTTAGGAAAGCAGGAGGGAGAGGAATGTGTCAGTGGCTACTGGTACAGTAAAGGAGTTCGCGCATCGAAGGCTGCAGCGGAGGAGTGAAGCGAAGGGACCACTCGAGGCATTCAGAGTTGCCTCACGTCACGAATCACGATTATGATCGCTCTCCCCTGTATTACTGGTGTGATCTGATGTGATGTGCAAAGCACCAAGCTGGTGAATCCGAGCGGTGGCTCACTTTTCTCGCCGCCATTTTTCTACACTCGAGGCGCGGATTGAAATTTCGCGTCGCACGCAAAAAGATCACCCATCCCAATGGTCAAAGCTTGAAGCCGTTGCGTTGCGTGTCCCTAATGAAGCTGGGTATTGCGTCACGGTTTCCCCTTGATCAAAGCCTGAAGGAACTGAACAGCTTGATTGTGTCCCGATCCCATGTCGTAAGTGTTATCCTTAGCACAAACCGGAATGTGTAAATATGGAGTTTCAGAATGCATTTCTCATAACATTTGTATTTTTTTTTTAGATCGGTTGTCTTTCCTACTTGTTCCCTTCTTGACGTGTCAGGCGTATACACCTCCCGTCGTGGGTGTCCCCTGCTGGATGAACCTACCCTGAACCCAGGGGTCACAAAATGTAAAAAGGCGAACACCGACCAAAAAGAAGCCGACAGAATCATAACCGACCGCATACCCCTTGAGATTGACAGTCGATACACCTACAGGTAACATCTACAGAAATCGATTACCGGTAGTACACAACATAAAATTGACATAGCTTCTAGATAGAAGCTACCTAACTATCCTTTATTAGGCTGGCTGACATTTAGATCAGGGACGCCAAACAGAGCAAGGAATCATTGCCACAGAATCCTTGCATTTGGCCTTAAGAAGCCTGCACACCAAAGGAGAAAACAGAAAGAAATTGCTTGAAGTGGTTCACTTCACAACACCACTCATAAAGCTGCCATCCTAGCCAAATTCCTAGTTGAAGAAAACACCACACCACACATAGAAACTCGACTCCAATTGTTTCGAGATATTACAGAACACCACACCAAGGCTGCCTACCCTTTTGCCTCATCCTCCCACACTCCCCTCTCCCCCCCACTTCCTCCCTCCCCATTCTCACCTGACTTGTATCCCAAGCACAGATGACCTGAGTGAGTCGCTTTGCTGACACAGCACATGAGCAACTTGTATTGAGAGCTCCCCACCACCACCAAGATTTCCTCTCCCTTCTCCGCACAGGTGACCTTGCCTCGTGATTCTCTCTCCCTTCTCCCTCCCGCTTCTTCACAGAGACACAGACAAGGCTTTTTTAGAGTCCCCTTCCAGGCCGTTACCACCACCAAGCTCCCCTCCCCATCCTTTTGAAGCGCATCAAAAGCGGCTTCTTGACGGTCTCAGAGGAGGCTCCTCCATATAGTCACCTTCCAGGCCTTTGCCACCACCAAGCTCCTCTCCCCATGGCCTGTATCTCCTCTCCCCATCCGCCCACATCTTTTCACCACATTGATCAAGGTGCATCCAGAGACTGACGCATTGAGTGGCTTGTTGCCTTGCCGCATGCAAGATTCTCTCTCCACCCATCGGAAATGAGATGAGCTTTTGAGGCGCTTCAAAACTCCACCCACGGCACAGAGAACCTTGGTGTCTTGATTGATCCAGAAGGGTTCTTTCAGAGAGTCACCTTCCGAACCACCGCCACCACGCCTTCCTCTCCCTCGTCTGCTGCAACCTTGCAAGCAAGCGTTGACGTTCCGCCTTTTCTTTGGCAGTTTGAATCTCGTCCTCCCTGGCTGCCCCTTCCTCCCTGGCTGCCCCTTCCTCCCTATACCACTCTCTTGCAAATTTCTCAATGCTCGTCCCCACCTCTTCAACCACCTGTTCATTCCACACTTCACTCCCATATTCTCTCCTCCCTTCTCTTCTCTCCTCTCTCCTCTCTTCCTCTCTTCCACGCTCTTCAGTTCCATCTGATTCTTCCTTAACCTCCTCTTCTTTCCTCTCCTCCTCCTTCCTCTCCATCTTCCCATTCCTCTCTTCACCTTTTCTGTCCTCCTCCGCCCCCTCTTGCCTGTTTCCTTCTTCTATGCCCGCCCCTTCGATCCTCCTCCTTTCCTTAACGTCTCCCTCTGACCGATGATTCCTCAATCCCTCTCCTTTCCCTTCCTCTTTCCCTCCCCCCTCCTCTCTCCTCCCCACTTCCTCAACTCCCCCAACTTCTCTCCTCCCTCCCTCCTCCAGCCCCTCCTCCCTCCTCCTCCCACCCTCCACCCACCGGCGAGGGCATGAGCAGCAGCGTGCAGGCTGGCACGGTAGTCACTCCCCGCTGCCTCCACTGCTGCCTTTGTCCCGCCTGCCACCCCCACCCACACTGCCTGCACGTCCCACGTCCCACGTCCCCTCAAAAATAGAAATCTCCAGAAAAATAACTTCAGTGCGTCAATACTGAAACATTAAGAAAACACACGAAGAGAGAATCCTGTGTTTGCCACAAGGTAGCGTCATTTCGACTCACTCACCTGGGTGGCGTAAGTTACATCTGGCAGTGTCATCTCCACCGTTTCAAACGGCTCTCCTGACCCGCGCCACATCTTGCGGTAACCAATCCACCGAGTCGTAACCTCACACGGCGCCATCTGTGCTGATGTCATCACACCGCCTGCTGCCATGTGCACTTTCGTCATTGGCTCAGAAGGTGCAGATGCGTGTGCTGCTGAGGTCATCGCCTCTTTGAGCACTGTGTGTGCTGACGTCATATCAGCAGAAGCTGAAGCAGGCTTTGCTGATGGCATGTGTGGGTATGGAAAAGCCTGCCGGTGCAAGGGAGAGTGTGAGTGAGTAGATAGGGGAAGTGTGTTGATTCGATGGTACATAATCTGAACTTGAAATGAATCTGCTGGCTATGTGCTCACCAGAGCGCCCCCCTTTATAGTCACAGTGACCATGTCAATTATCTTGATGTAATGCAAACTGCACAGGACAAGGTATAGATGAAATCCGTGTGCACCCAACTTGCTCACCAGAGTGCCCCCCTTTATAGTCACGGTGACCATGTCAATCGTCTTGGTGTAATACCGCACATCTGCACGCACACACCGTGCCTCCCGCTTGTCCAGATCCAGGGAAGTCACCAGGAAGGTTCGCCCCTGCTGCAGGTAAACTGCACCCTCGTATAGCTGCAAATGGGGGTATGGGGGAGAATGAAGACAACATGTGAGGCGCCTCGAAAGCCCGGCTGCGGGTACAAGGCACCCTCGTACAGCTGCACGAGGGGGGATGGGGGAGAATGAAAAGTAAAAAGAACAAAAAAATCAGAGGGACAACAACACAGACATCCCAATAAAAGCTTTGCTCACTTCCACCTGAGGTTTCTTTACAGATTCTAAAAAATCTCACCACAAAAAATGCCTTGCTCTCTTCAATCTCCTCCAGCACCCTCCCAATCCTCGCCTCCACCACCGCATACATGTTCGGGTCGATCGCCCGCACCGGGACAAACAGCGCCGGCCGCTTCCCTGCCCCAATATATCTCCACCCACGGTCCACCTCGGGATTCTCCGGACTCCTCCCGAGTGTGCCCTTCCCCGCCAGCTCAGCAATCCTCTCGGCCAATGACGGGCCAAAGAACCTCCAATCCACATCCTCCAGCAGCGGCAGCTCCGCCGCAGCACACTGCAGCTGCTGCCGCATCACCAGGGGATTCTCCGCGTCCAGCTGGCAGCGCTCGATTGGCCGGGAGAACAGCCTGTCAGGAGCCGCCATGAAGAACTAATGTTAGGACTTAATTTATAGTGAAATCCAGACCTTCCTGTTTAGACGTTCAATCTGGGGCTGGATTTGCCTGGTCGTGAGCGCGGGTGTGACGGACAGACCGCCGGGGGAAAGCTGATCGGGGCCACCGAGGGATGGGGGAAGGAAATGGGGGGATTGGGATGGTTGGTCAGCCCTCCAGGTCTGGTTTTGGTAGCACATGCCAGTGCAGGTGGTTGTAGCGGAGGAGATTGAGGATGGCCACATACACTGGGAACTCGTCCAATGGGGCATAAAACATCGCTAGCCAGATGACCACTTCCTGGGAGCGATAGGGGGAAGGGGGAAAGTGGACAATTCAGGTACACATGAGGCCCCTTGCGTTCCCCCAGGTCTGATTTGGGCAGCACGCGCCAGTGCAGGCGGTTGTAGCTGAGGAGATTCAGGATGGCGACATAGACCGGGAACTCGTCTAGAGGAGCGTGTAGCATCTCTAGCCAAATGACACCACCTGAAAGCAGGAGAGGGCAGGGGGGGTGTGGCTAGTTTCAGCACAACAGGCTGGTGGCTTCACACATCAGTGCAGTCGGTTTAGGTGAGGAGATAGAGGATGGCCACATACACTGGGAACTCGTCTAGAGGAGCATAGAACATCTCCAGCCAAATGACATATTTGGGGGAAAGAGGGGGAAAAGGGAAATTGAGAAAGTGGGCAAATTAGGTACACATGAGGGGGGCTCCTGCATTCTGCTGCCTAGCATAAGAAGGTACGCGAAGATCTTACCGTTTCGTCAAATGCGGTCCCCCTGGAAGAGCAGCTCTTCAAACTCCAGCATGGGCAGGTACTTGACGCTGTTGACAGCTATGGAGTGCATGGTTACCACATGGTTACCACATGATTACCATATGGTTACAAGCATAAGGACTTACCAACTCTGAGAACGTGGTCCCATTCAAATATCATCTTTTCAAACTCCAGCACGGACAGGTACTTGACACGGTGAAGTGCATGGTTACCACATGGTTACCAATGTAATAACTCACCGACTCTGAGCACGCGGTCCCACTCAAAGAGCATCTCTTCAAACTCGAGCATGGGGAGGTACTTGACGCTGTTGATGCTGTTAGGCACATGGTTACCATTTGATTACCACATGGTTACCATATGATTACCAGCATAAGGACTTACCTGACTCTGAGCACGCGGTCCCACTCAAAGAGCATCTCTTCAAACTCGAGCATGGGCAGATACTTGATGCTATTGACGCTGTGAATGATGTCCAACGAGCCATTGAAGAAGGGTAGACGTGCCTGATACGACACGGAGGGAGGGCGAATGGAGGGAATGTGAAGTTAGGGTGGAGTAGAGGAAGAAAGGGCAGGTACTTGATGCTGTTGACGCTGTGAATGATGTCCAATGAGCCGTCAAAGAAGGGTAGGCGGGACTGGTGGGAGGTCAGGGGGAGAGAGAGGGGGCAAACGGAGAGGAGGCGGGGAAGGAGGGTACTTGACGTTGTATGCACTGTGAATGATGTCCAATGAGCCGTCAAAGAAGGGCAGACGAGCCTGATGGGAGGATAGGGATAGACAGGGGCGATGTAAAGAGGGGCAAAATGGATTGAGAGGAGGGAGGAATGGTGGAAGATACAATGATGGTACAGCGCACAGAGCAGCACATAGCACACATACAGCACAAAGCCTACAGCACACAACCCATCCACCTTGTGCGGCAGGTGCAGGGAATGAGCCCTCTTCGAGCTATAGCCTGCATGTACAGAAGCCCGTGCTTGCACCCTACCTTAGTCTCCACATCCATGGCCCGTGGTGAGGATGGTCACAAGGCTTATAACACTTTTGATTTAACCCGAAACAAATTATGTCACAGAACTATACTCACAATCTAATCCGTTCTTGCAAATACAAGTGGTTACTAACAATTGAAACGACACGCTACTTCAGAACCAGTATTACATCATATGGGAGACTGCTCAAAGCAAATCCTAGGAACCAGACGTCTATTTCACCACGCTCAGACCACATTTCGTGCTTCCTTCCAGCTGTGATGACTGAGCTGTAGAAAATCAGAGACATGAGTATGACGCTATGACACAAGCAGACTCATTTTCTATTTGCGAGAATTTTTCTCATATGAACGCATCCAAACATGAGACCACCTTCTATGAACTCCTGTGGGAGCACACCTTCTACTGCATGTGTTATCAAGCCTGCTATTTATTCCATTCTCGACTGCAACCGGAAGACAAAGAAACGAAGTGACGCAGGGTAGTTGACTTCCACATAACAAGGCCTGGTGATCTGCTGAGTTATGCATTTAGAAAATCAGCATTGCCCGTATTGCAATGATCAGCATCCCTCACTCACCTCATTCTTTGTTGAGCCAACGCCTCTCCAGAAGCTCAGCTGCCAATGTCTTGTTTTGCACATCTTTCCCAAACAGCATATCCTGCACACAAAACACAAGCATGAACGTACACACTAACCTTACAAAGTTCCCTTCTAATAAGTTTCAAGGGTGAACGATGAGCACATTACCTTCAGAATGACGGAGCTCACTGCCCGATCCATTTTGTTGAGTATGTAATTAGTCGAAGCTCGTCGCAGTGGACGCACATCATGCATATCAGCCACTTTTAAGGCCGGAAAATCGATTTCATCATTCAGGAGCTCGCACAGAGACGAGCAGAGGTGCTGCTTAAGCTCCGAAACTTCATATTTATCCGCTGCCACAAGGAGGTCAACTTCCTGCACAGCATAACATGGAGAAGAGGAATTTAGAAAATGACAGATATACGCGACAAGAAACCTCCAGCAATTTAGTTTGGCTTCAATTCGGCTCAACCTACCTGCATGGTGGCTCGTGTTATAGGTAATTCTCCAGCATACATGAACGAAACTAACTTCTCTAAAGTAGGGCCGTCCGTATCTGCTATGTAGACAGAGCCTTTCTTTACTTCTTCAAAGCCACTGCTGAACATTCTCGCAAAAACTGGTGACCTGCAAAAACACAACGTGCGATCAATCAAGAGAATATGTACGAAACTTTATACTGCCTCTCGACAACAACTTACCAAGCGGCGAGAATGCACCTATGAGCTTCTACAGTTTCGCCTTCGTACGGTCGCAGTGTCACGTCGCAAAACGTCACATCTCGCATCCCTTCGACTTTCCGAGCGAAGGGAACGAGCTTTTCCAGACGTGCTTCCACATCTTTCACTCGCAGCTCGAACTTCGCAGCTTTCGCAACTATGTCCTTCCGATCGGGTTCACAAGACGAGCATACATGCCTGCCAGTGCAGTTCCTGTTAGTTTGGCAGAAAAAACAACACGCATACACCATGATGTGGTTGTTGTAGACCACTGGACTTTGCGGAAAACACTGTCAAGGGCGCAGTTCTGCTGATTTTTGAAACGAAGCGTACTTGAACTTCCGCTCTCAGAAAAGTCAACGAGTCGGCGAAGCACCTCTCGCGAAGTCCCACGTTGGAAACCCCGACTTCTTTCGTGAGGTTCAAGGTTGGAGTGCCCAATTCGTGAACGCGTGAAGGACGTACTCGTTATGGTCAAAATCCTGGATGGTTTAAACGTCGGACCAGACAGAGTGCTACTTGTGCAATTGAGAAAGGAAGAGATTGTAATCCTGGCAAAATCATACAGGCGTGAGCTTTGGAATGAGCAACCAGAAGATGGTAGTGGTAACGCTCTGGAACATTGGGTGCTCTACGGCTTGTGACTCGGCCGAGGCGTTGGACCGGGTCGCAGTTTACCTATCAAGGCTTGATCGGGTGAGGTGGATAAACATTGTTGTTCGCGGTAAGCGTGTCAAACTCCATTGGGCCAAATCGGGCAGTCCGACATAGACGAGAAAGAAAATGGTGCACGTGTCTCCATAGCACACCCAGTATATGCAGTGTCCGTCAAAGATGGCTGGCCGATCCACTATTGAAGGTAGCTGTCACTGCATTCTCACCAGTGGGCATCGAAATGTGACGTTTCATCCCTCCTTCGTCTCATTAGAGACATCCGCTGCGTTCCCTATAATGTCCTCGTCAACAAACAAGTTGACATCAAGACTTAGTGTCGAAAGTCCTAGGTTAATAACACACTGCTAATACTAACGGTAAGCGACTGTTATCGTAGCATGCTGGTGGTCTGATTTCTATTGGAGCCACCGATTGAGCGTAACACAGACATTGCAAGGTGTGATGCACGCGCGGGAGACGTCAAATCGAAACCCTACCCAGCTTGAGCAACAGTGCACGAACACTACTGCCGCCTAGTAAAGCGATCCTGCCGACATGCCTCTCGGCGAAATAGGCAACTGCTGAGTTCCGAGGCATGCTGTGTCTCTGGATGCATCGGGAGGCTCGAGATTCAAGTCGGGAACTGAAACTCCACCTCAGTGAGGCCGTGACCCAGCTTCCCTTTCTAACCGCAAAAAATGGAAAATTGATCTCACGCTAAGCAGCATATTTTCATATATATTTTTAATAGCCTTACCCTTTATACAACCACGATCACAATGTTAGAGATGCACAATTACAAGAATATAATACATAATCAATTAAATGATAATTGATGTAACTGATATCCAAACAGAAGGCAGACACAAAATGCAAGAGGTGCTCATGTTTTGAAATATATATATAAGAAGAAGGTAGCGGATGTTGTATATTATATATATATGAAGGTGCTCCTGCGTTCCCTATATATTAGATAGTGCTCATGTTCTAGGTAGCGGACCTGCTTGAACAAGGTCCGTCTGACGCTGCTATACATATCACGTTCTCGATAACATCGGACGTTCTTGTGTCGAGGATGGGATTCAGCAAGCGTTTTTGCATGACGTGGGATGAGTCAGAAAACTGCAAGATGACTGGCGCCCAAGTCAGTCGCAGTCAGTTACCCGCAAGCGAAGCCTCACATATCGTCCGCCACATGGCAACAGCGTAAAACTGGCTGTTCCCCGACGGCGCAGCGCAGCCCGCGAACCAAGCCACCTGCGAACCAGTGGGGGAAATGATCAAATTGGGGCCGAAGATTGCCAGAGAGATGACCGAAGTAGGGCCGAAAAATCTCGACCGTAGGATTTCAACTCCGAGCTGACCAAGCGGCTAGGCGAACAAGCCGAGCCGTGACTCGAAGAAAAATGCTACTGGCACCAAATTCCTTGTTCAAATTGTTTTATTAGGGTTACGACCACCTTCTACTACTACGGGCGCATCGCGTTTTTATGGAAGTATAATTCGCCGTAACTAATGGTGAGTCCAAAACAGCACAAAATATTCTTGGTGATACATATCACTATCTGATGGGAAACGCGCGGAAAAAATATATATATATATATATATTTGTATGTATATATTACCCATTCGGGGACGGATATGACTAGGGAGGCATCAACCCTGAACTCCAAGAAGGTTCTCGTTTTTAGGGTTGATCCATCCCGAAAATGAATCCAGGTTCCCTAGGGGTTTTAGTTTTTTTGGCTACCAGGTGGAAAGCCATGAATAATTTACCATTTCCAGGAAAAATGACGCGCGAGCGAAAATGCGAGCTCTTACAAACCACTAACGATAACAATACGTGCAATAAAACGATGTCTATTCGGTAATTCCTCCTCATGCTGCGATTTGGTTAGTTCCGGGCCTCTCGGCCCCTCGTTGATCACCCCTCTAGTAATGTTTGGCCCCTGTATGATCTTCTCCGACCCAGTGGTCTCCATCCGCTTCCCCACACACCACCTGCTGCGCAACCCGCGTGCTGGTGTGGTTTGGGTTGGGGGCCCGAAATTCCGGCACTTCCTTTTCCGCACTGAATCATCAAGCCAGTGCAGCCACATCACACTCCCCCTGCTGTCTGTGCTCGCGCCAGCAGGTCTCCCCCAGCCAAACATGCAGGTTCTGTTCCTTGGTGCACCGAATGGATGCACCGTTCAGAATTTGTGTACGTGTACTGTGATTGAATCTGGCCTTTGTGTAGTTCTCGCATGGTTTTTATCGCACACACCACGTAATGAGCTACGTCACAGATCCAATCAATACGGTAGTTCCTTCGCAACCTTCTCATTGAGCAAACTTCAGGTGCCAACTCTCAGGCCAACACATAGTATTCGCATTTCGACGATTGCTCTTCTTGTTTCCAGCCAGTCTCGTGTTGATTCACTGTCCGCATTCACCTCTAATGGTTTTCATCCCTTCGAATACCGAACACTCGCCGGATCGAGTGATTCCTTGGACCTCTGAGTTTCCCGATGACCTCTATACACTTGGTGGCGTCCTCGGGAAGGGAACATACGGTTCTGTTTACGAGTGTGTCGAGAAGAAAACAGGTCGATGCTCAGCGTGTAAAGTGATTCAGAAGCATTTAGTCAGGAATGAGGAGGACAAATGGGAATTACGACGGGAAATGCAGATTATGCGGGAATTAGGGTGCCATTGCAACATAGTGTCCCTGCAAAGAGTCTACGAGGATTCGTCAGCCGTTTATTTTGTGATGGAGAAGTGCTCAGATGGTGATCTCTTGGGTTACATCAGCAGAACGGGACCCGCTGATGAGCACGAAGCCGCAAAGATCTTTCGTCAGTTGATTACAGCCGTGGCGTTTTGCCACGAACACGGTGTGGTGCATCGCGATCTGAAGCCTGACAATGTCCTACTCACACGTCAGCAATCGGATCCTTCACTATCCGGCAATTTGCCGTTTGAAGACCTCAATACCTACAAGGACTCACTAAGTTATCTCTTCTCGACACTTTTCACTTCATCAGATCAATTATGTAAACCTCCAGCTGCAGATGCAGAATTAACGGCTGGCCAGGCTTACCTCCAAGTCAAGCTGACAGATTTTGGACAGGCTGTGACGTGTCGTCGGGGAGGCTCCGTTTGCGGAGCGGCAGGAAGCCTACCTTACACAGCTCCTGAGCTGCTATGCAGGTTGAAATACAACGAGAAGGTGGACGTTTGGAGTGTAGGAGTAATCTTATACACGATGCTAGCAGGAAGATGGCCATTTTATTCGCCTAAGAAGAGCACAATGAAGAAGATGATCTGCTCTGGACAGCTGGATCTGGCTTCTGAACCCTGGCATTTGGTCTCTTCTGAAGCTAAGGATCTGGTGAGGAGAATACTCTCTGTGGATCCGAGTCACCGACCATCTTGTCAAGAGCTCCTTAGGCACCCTTGGCTCGGATGAAGCATGAGGAGTTATTCCTACCTATGGTACTTCATTGATTCATTTATGGCCGCGTCAAAACTCCATTCCCTCCCAGGGTTATACGGTACTCAGAATTCTGATTCTGATCCGAGGTTCCTGGATGTTCACTTGCCAGAACTGAAGGTGGCAAGCAAATCCTGGGCAACTGTTTCACGAGCAAAAATATTTGTACGTATCAATAAATCTGGCAAACAATCAGAATGCACAAAGGCACCCACGCTGTCATCTGTAACCAGATCAGAGAGTGTAGATTTATATGTCAACCACAAGTCAATCAATGTCCATACCAGCTGCTGCTGGGTGCTGCTCTGAAGACAACTGTAGATTAAATATCAAAGAACAGAAGAAAATGCAGAGCAGCAGATGTACAAGAATGAGATTGGAGTATTATAAACCACAACACACACGCATGTCCAATCACAACTACGTAGAGCTACAGCACTCAAACTAACTAAGTTTATAAGTCACCCAGAATGCTGCTCACCGAGGTGTCATCATGCACACGCCAGATGGTCTCTCCCAGCAGATTGGCCACCGACAGCACGGTCAGCTGCGGGAAAAGTTTATCCTCGGTCAGCGGAATGGTATTGGTCACAATCACCTCCTGAAACAGCCCACTGGACAGCCGCTCTATGGCGGGTGGGCTGGTGGGGCATGGATGGGGAAGAGGAGGGGTTGGGAAGGAAAGCAGAATGGTGCACTAAGATCGTAGTGCACTAAGAATTGCAAAAGATCGAATTGCGAAAGATCGAGAGGACTGGATATCTCTCCACAACATTAGCAAAACTGGTTGCACTTGCGTGAGACAGTGCGAGTGCAGCACGCATGCCCCTCATTAGGGCCCCCCTCCTCACGTAACAACACAGCGACCTTGGCAATAGTGCCGACCGGATCAATTTATTAGAAACACCACTCTCACCTGAAGACAGCGTGAGTGCAGCACGCATACACCTCACTAGCCCCCTCCTCATGCAGCAATGCGGCGCCTTTAGCAATGGTGCCGGCCGTATCAATCATATCATCCACCATCACTGCCACCTTTCCCTTCACGTCTCCGATCAGGTTCATCACCTGATGGGCGAATGGGGGGAGGGGAGGAGTTGGGAGAAAAAGAAGGATAAGCGCCCTGTTTGACCCTTCCAGTCCCAATACCGTCCAACCTGCCTCAGATAACACCCTGTGCCAGCCCCCACCAACCCCTCCCTCCCTCCCCCTCCCCCCTCCCTCACCCTCCGCCCTCCCTCCCTCCTTCCCTCTCACCTCTGCCATGTTGTGGCTCTGCCTCCTCTTATCCACAATCGCCAAAGGAGCATCCGACAGGCGCTTGGGAACCAGAGCGGGATTCCCCCCTTCCCTGGCTTGCACCTCGCTCCCCACAAACTGTCCCCCGTTGCTCCCCTCTCACCTCTGCCACGTTGTGGCTCTGCCTCCTCTTGTCCACAAGCGCCAAAGGAGCATCCGACAGGCGCTTGGGAACCAGAGCGGGATTCCCTCCTTCCCTTGCTTGCACCTCGCTCCCCACAAACTGTCCCCCGTTGCTCCCCTCTCACCTCTGCCACGTTGTGGCTCTGCCTCCTCTTATCCACAATCGCCAAAGGAGCATCCGACAGGCGCTTTGCGAAGGCCCTCGCCCGCGCCACGCCTCCCACGTCTGGGGAGACGACGACCAGATCGTTTGAAGAGAGCATCTTGCTGGCTAGATAGTCGAGGATGACAGGCTGGGGAGAGAGGGGACAAGAGAACGAGCAAGCAAGGGGGTTGGGATGGTAGCGGGCGGTGAAGAAGTGAGAGGGAGAGTGGGACGAAGGCCCTGGCCTGGGCGACACTCCCCACGTCTGGGGAGACCACCAGAAGGTCGTTTGAAGAGAGAAACTTCCTGGAGAGATAGTTGAGGATCTCAGGCTGGGAGGGAGGGGGAAAGGAGGGAGGAGCGGGAGGGGCACAAGGGGCCTCGCGAAGGTCCTTGTGTGGGAAGGGGGATGAGGGAGAGGGGGGATAGGCCACAGGGGCATGACTTTGCGAAAGCCCTTGCCCGGGACACAACGTGGCAACGTGCCCCCCACGTCTGGAGAAAGCAGCACGAGGCCACTGGAAGACGGTGGTGCTCGTGGTGCTTGTGGTGCTCGTGGTGCTCGTGGTGCACAAATGTTGCTGGCGAAATGACTTTTGAGTCGACTCAAAAGCCACTGGAAGACGTGGTGCTCGTGATGCACGAATGTTGCTGGCGAAATAGTCAAAGATCTCAGGCTGGTTTCAGGGTTACAGGCTGGGGGGGGGGGGGGGGGGTGGAGTAGAAGGGGGGAGAGTAACGGGTTGTTGGGGAGACAAGGGAGAGGCAAACCCGGGCAGAAATTCACCGTCGCACACCTGCGCTGTACTCTTGTTTTGAGACGTCTCTTAACACGCACACCTGCGCTGGACTCACCTGTCCATACAATGAGCCTCACCTGCCCATGCACATGGTCGACGGGGATGTCAAATCAAAGAACCCCATGCTCTGTCCCGAGTGCAAGTCACACGCCAGCACACCCCATGGCACCTGCCCCGTGCAGGTCGCATGCCCCCCTCTCTTCTCCCCTGCACGATAGTCACACTGCTTAACAATCACACGCACCTGCCCACACGCACCTGCCCACACGCACCTGCCCACACGCACCTGCCCACACGCACCTGCCCACACGCACCTGCCCACACGCACCTGCCCACACGCACCTGCCCACACGCACCTGCCCACACGCACCTGCCCACACGCACCTGCCCACACGCACCTGCCCACACGCACCTGCCCACACGCACCTGCCCACACGCACCTGCCCACACGCACCTGCCCACACGCACCTGCCCACACGCACCTGCCCACACGCACCTGCCCACACGCACCTGCCCACACGCACCTGCCCACACGCACCTGCCCACACGCACCTGCCCACACGCACCTGCCCACACGCACCTGCTCACACGCACCTGCCCACACGCACCTGCCCACACGCACCTGCCCACACGCACCTGCCCACACGCACCTGCCCACGCGCACCTGCCCACGCGCACCTGCCCACGCGCACCTGCCCACGCGCACCTGCCCACGCGCACCTGCCCACGCGCACCTGCCCACGCGCACCTGCCCACGCGCACCTGCCCACGCGCACCTGCCCACACGCACCTGCCCACACGCACCTGCCCACACGCACCTGCCCACACGCACCTGCCCACACGCACCTGCCCACACGCACCTGCCCACACGCACCTGCCCACACGCACCTGCCCACACGCACCTGCCCACACGCACCTGCCCACACGCACCTGCCCACGCGCACCTGCCCACGCGCACCTGCCCACGCGCACCTGCCCACGCGCACCTGCCCACGCGCACCTGCCCACGCGCACCTGCCCACGCGCACCTGCCCACGCGCACCTGCCCACGCGCACCTGCCCACGCGCACCTGCCCACGCGCACCTGCCCACACGCACCTGCCCACACGCACCTGCCCACACGCACCTGCCCACACGCACCTGCCCACACGCACCTGCCCACACGCACCTGCCCACACGCACCTGCCCACACGCACCTGCCCACACGCACCTGCCCACACGCACCTGCCCACACGCACCTGCCCACACGCACCTGCCCACACGCACCTGCCCACACGCACCTGCCCACACGCACCTGCCCACGCGCACCTGCCCACGCGCACCTGCCCACGCGCACCTGCCCACGCGCACCTGCCCACGCGCACCTGCCCACGCGCACCTGCCCACGCGCACCTGCCCACGCGCACCTGCCCACACGCACCTGCCCACACGCACCTGCCCACACGCACCTGCCCACACGCACCTGCCCACACGCACCTGCCCACACGCACCTGCCCACACGCACCTGCCCACACGCACCTGCCCACACGCACCTGCCCACACGCACCTGCCCATACACACGTTTCTCTCCCCTCACCTGCCCGTAAACATGGTCCACGGGGATGTCAAAGTACCCCATGCTCTGCCCCGAGTGCAAGTCACACGCCAGCACACACACGCGCGCCCCCCAATGCCCTCCTTCCTCCACACAAAGGCAAATCACGCTACAGTCACACGCCCCTACAGTCACAAGCCCATACAATCACCCGCACCTGCCCATACACATGGTCGACGGGGAAGTCAAAGGATCCCATGCTCTGCCCCGAGTGTAGGTCGCACGCCAACACGCACACACACGTTCTAACCCCCTCCCCCCTCTACTCGAAGGCCAATCACGCTACAGTCACAAGCCCCTACAGTCACAAGCCACTAGAATCACACACCTGTCCATACACGTGGTCGACGGGGATGTCAAAGTACCCCATGCTCTGCCCCGAGTGCAAGTCACACGCCAGCACACGGTTTGCGCCCGCCTCCGTGATCAGATTCGCCACCAGCTTTGCTGCAATCGACTCGCGGCCTTGAGTCTGATAAGGGGGGCAGGGGAGGGGAAAGGCGGGGATAAGGGCGCGGGCGAGAGACGAGAGGAGCAACGGGGGCAAAGAAAGAAGACTGGACGATGAGCTGTTTTGAGACGTCTCAAAACAACTCTTTTATCACGTGGAGAAGGGGGGGAGGGGAAAGGCGGGGAAAGGCGGGGATAAGGGCGCGGGCGAGAGAAGAGAGGGGCAACGGGGGATAAGGCAACGGGGGCAAAGAAAGAGGACGGGATGATGAGCCAGAGCAGTCTAGTTTTAAGGCGCCTCAGAGCTAGTTTTAAGGCGCCTCAGAACTAGTTTTAAGGCGCCTCAGAACTAGTTTTAAGGCGCCTCAGAACTAGTTTTAAGGCGCCTCAGAACTAGTTTTAAGGCGCCTCAGAACTAGTTTTAAGGCGCCTCAGAACTAGTTTTAAGGCGCCTCAGAACTAGTTTTAAGGCGCCTCAGAACTAGTTTTAAGGCGCCTCAGAACTAGTTTTAAGGCGCCTCAGAACTAGTTTTAAGGCGCCTCAGAACTAGTTTTAAGGCGCCTC